GATAGCCTCAAGTGGCCAAGTCGGTCGAAATGAAMGAATCGATAAAATGCAACCCAAACGCATCATATGAACACAGGATATCAAAAATGGTCCCTCAAACACATGCAATATCTTAAAATCACTCTAGATCAAATGGCTTATATGATGAGTAGATAATACATGCATGCATAACAATTCTAAAACCGATAAGTAGATCAGTAGATCATATTATAATGGTACAGGATTTTTATTCCAGTAGGTAGTTGGTGGAAGCGATAAAATTGATTTTTCATTTAATTTAACTGTTATTGTATTTATTTAGTATTACGCAGATCGTCCTAAAAAAAKACATACAAACACACTTTACGTGACCAGCTCGCGGTATTATATTAAAATATTAAATTATACGAGTATAACCCGCTCGTTCGGTTCGCTTACCGCGTATCCCTCGGATCCGTAGCTTTTACTAGAAGCCAACGAGTTGGACGAGTCAAATCTGGTCAGCGGATTTTGGTAGTAGTTTCGTTTGAGGGAGGCGGTGTGAGAGTGGCGTGATGATGGAGAGGCGTGCGAGTGGCGGGACGACGGCGAGGCGTGCGAGTGGCGAGAAGACGGCGAGGAGGCGTGCGAGCGGAGTGACGACGATGGGGACGCTGTCCGGCCGGAAAACGACGAAAAATTGGGAGACGACGACGACGGGGTGATGGTCAGACCACCGTACCCGGATGCAGTGCCACCGTACGTTGATGGGGAATACGAAGGAATGGTGGAAGAGTAGGATGACGTGCCGAGATAGGGCGCGGACAGGCCAAGGGACGAGTACATGGCGCTGTTCCGAGACGGAGAACTGTAAACACTCTTGGGCCTAGCGTAAGACGAAGATGGCGTAGACGACGAGGACGACGGCCGGGACTTTCGGATATTGTTTGTGTAAGAGCTCATGGCGAATCTGTGAGATGGGACACGGGTGCGCGGGACTCGTTCATCGATGCAGGACAACGTGCGACGAAGTACTGAAGTCTGAACTCACTGGGCCGCGGCGGAGACTGGCGCACAGCAAACAAACGACGTGTCGCGTGGAGCCGAGGCCGACGTATATATAGTGACCGTGATCTATTTTCGGTCTAATGARAAGGCCCGGTTTAAAAAACGTGCCCTTAGTTGAGCTACGGCGTATAGTACGCGGTATATTATTATTAAACGATTATTGTCGTGGACGTTTACGATGTACGACACCAAACGGTCGCGACAGAGTGGTCGGGGAGGGTCYCTCGTGGCCAGCGAACGATAAAGAGCGGCAGCGGTGTTCGTGTTCGGCGTAATATTTAAAAAAACTTTTATTTTAGAAATCGCGCATGTATTGTTTTTAATTTGTTTAATACGGGTTTGATTTGACGGAAGCCAACTTTAAAATAAAAATAGAATTTTACTACGGAGTACATTAGCTGAATCGAAAATAGAATTGCATACATATGCGATAGAGAAGGCGTTATTTGACATAGGACTGACTTATTGTAGCCGTTCTAAATAAATGATTGAAGGAAAATTTAAAGTTGCCAAAAATATCAAACGACACATTACTCATTAGTCAAACTTTTCACCGTACATCCAAAAACAATAATTGGAAAAACCCCAATTTTTAAGTAGTATAATAATAATAATGATGATATATTTTTTACTTCATTAAACTTGTTCTACATACAAGAGACATGACTGCCGTCATGCGCTGACATAAAAACACGACTTTATTTATAATAACACAACAACCAAAGTGTTATCCATGGTCTTAATATACAAACTTATTTTATATTTTAAATATAAACTGTTCWWTTGCAACAAACATACCTCCCCGATACTATCATCGGTACCACCACAAGAAGAGGTATCTTGTCTGTCTGGATCAATTTCGTCCAAATCAACGTGAACCACTCCAGTAGATCTTCGCTTCGGCCTTTTCCTTCTTTGAATAACTGCTTGAGTGGCCTGGTGATTGCGGAACTCATTTTCTTTATCTTGATCTGTATATAAAAGATAAACATTAAAAATGTATATTAAATATTTAAATCAATACAATTGAAACGTGATTCGT